TGAACAAGTTCTATCATTTGTGTATATAAATAAAGTGAACTGATTTCGAACAAGTTCTATCATTTGTGTATATAAATAAAGTGAACTGATTTTGAACAAGTTCCATCATTTGTGTATATAAATAAAGTGAACTGATTTTGAACACGTTCTATCATTTGTGTATATAAATAAAGTGAACTGATTTTGAACAAGTTCTATCATTTGTGTATATAAATAAAGTGAACTGATTTCGAACAAGTTCTATCATTTGTGTATATATAAATAAAGTGAACTGATTTTGAACAAGTTCTATCATTTGTGTATATAAATAAAGTGAACTGATTTTGAACACGTTCTATCATTTGTGTATATAAATAAAGTGAACTGATTTTGAACAAGTTCTATCATTTGTGTATATAAATAAAGTGAACTGATTTTGAACAAGTTCTATCATTTGTGATTTTGATATATAAAAATAAAGTGAACTGATTTTGAACAATCATTTGTTCTATCATTTGTATATATAAATAAAGTGAACTGATTTTGAACACGTTCTATCATTTGTGTATATAAATAAAGTGAACTGATTTTGAACACGTTCTATCATTTGTGTATATAAATAAAGTGAACTGATTTTGAACAAGTTCTATCATTTGTGTATATAAATAAAGTGAACTGATTTTGTTCTATCAAATAAATAAGTTCTATCATTTGTGTATATAAATAAAGTGAACTGATTTTGAACAACTTCTATCATTTGTGTATATAAATAAAGTGAACTGATTTCGAACAAGTTCTATCATTTGTGTATATAAATAAAGTGAACTGATTTTGAACAAGTTCTATCATTTGTATATATAAAATAAAGTGAACTGATTTTGAACAAGTTCTATCATTTGTGTATATAAATAAAGTGAACTGATTTTGAAAAACTTCTATCATTTGTGTATATAAATAAAGTGAACTGATTTTGAACACGTTCTATCATTTGTGTATATAAATAAAGTGAACCCTTTGTGTGTATTGGGACAAAACAAACAAATGGGAGGAAAGACAAGGCAAATTCGACATAAATGTCACACAAACCCTGATTTCGAACAAGTTCTATCATTTGTGTATATAAATAAAGTGAACTGATTTTGAACAAGTTCTATCATTTGTGTATATAAATAAAGTGAACTGATTTTGAAGAACTTCTATCATTTGTGTATATGAATAAAGTGAACTGATTTTGAACAAGTTCTATCATTTGTATATATAAATAAAGTGAACTGATTTCGAACAAGTTCTATCATTTGTGTATATAAATAAAAGTGAACTGATTTTGAACAAGTTCTATCATTTGTGTATATAAATAAAGTGAACTGATTTTGAACAAGTTCTATCATTTGTGTATATAAATAAAGTGAACTGATTTTGAACAAGTTCTATCATTTGTGTATATAAATAAAGTGAACTGATTTTGAACAAGTTCTTATGTAGTATGCTATTTATGTTATGTTTTTATGTCTGGTACAAAATATTGCACATATAATGATAGTTTGAGCTAAGGAGATGCATACTCAACTTTATCTGAAAGGTCTCATACAGTATGGGACCTCTTTGGAAGAAAAGCCAGATTCATAGCAAAACTGTTATTGGCAGATACGTTTTTCAATTAAATAAAGGGAAACATATAGAAATGAGCATGAACACGAACTTTAACCCCTTTCCCTCCTGAGAATTTACCCGCCTTCCTGACCACGCCATCTTTTGCGTTACGGCGCTGAGTTAGTTTAACTGACAATTGCGCGGCCATGCAACGTTGCACCCAAATTAAATTTACATAATTTGTCCCCACAAATAGAGCTTTCCTTTGGTGGTATTTGATTGCCTCTGTGTTTTTTATTTTTTGCGATATAAAAAAAAAAAGACTGAAGATTTTGAGAAAAATACAATATTTTTGACTTTTTGCTATTAACCATTTCAATACCGGGCAATTTTATACCTTACTGCCCAGGCCATTTTTCAGGTTTCAGCGCTCTCACACTTTGAATGACAATTGCACGGTCAAACAACATTGTACCCAAACTAAAATTTTATCATTTTCTTCACACAACTAGAGCTTTCTTTTGGTGGTATTTAATCACTGCTGGGGTTTTTATTTTTTGCTAACTTAACAAAACAAGACCAAACATTTGGGAAAAAACACACGTTTTTCTTTGTTTCTGTTATAAAAGTTTACAAATAAATAATTGATCTTCATAATTTAGGCCGAGATGTATTCTGCTACATGTCTTTGGTGAAAATAACCCAAATTAGGATGTATTATTTAGTTTGTAGGAAAGTTATAGAGTTCACAAACTATGGTATAGATCTGAATATTGATCAATCCTGAAGTACTGACAGCCAATCTAATTTCTCGAGGTCCAAGAATGTCAGGACAGTACAGATATCCCCCAAATGTCAGGACGGTACAGATATCCCCCAAATGTCAGAACAGTACAGATATCCCCCAAATGTCAGAACAGTACAGATATCCCCCAAATGTCAGGACGGTACAGATATCCCCCAAATGTCAGAACAGTACAGATATCCCCCAAATGTCAGAACAGTACAGATATCCCCCAAATGTCAGGACAGTACAGATATCCCCCAAATGACCCCTTTTTGCAGAGTAGACAGTCCGACGTACTTCATAAGAGGCATGGCGAGTTTTTTGAAGTTGTATTTGTTTTGTCATAATTTTTCGGAAAATGAAAAAATAAAAAAAAAATAATTTTCACTATTTTTTTTTACATACTGTCACCAGTGCAGTACAGCGTCATCATATAACTGGCATGGTGGTGATCAGGGACACTGACTGGTGACAGTATGAAAAAAAAATATATATATTTTTATTATTTTTTTATTATTTTTAATTTTTTATTACATTTTTTTATTTTTTTTAAGATTTTTTTTTTATATTTTACTATGACCAAAGTAGTACAATGTTACCATAGTAACATTGTACTACTTTGGGGAAGTGATCAGTATTTTTTTTTTTTTTTTTTACACAATTTGCTTATAGGAAAGAATTACGTTGCTATAAGCAAGCATTTACCTGAATGACATCGATTCATTCAGGTTTTTTTTTTTTTTTTGCTTAGCTGTGATTTGGTCACAGCTAATCACATGGCATGTGCATGTGATTAGCTGTGACCATTCACAGCTAGGCATTAGTATACAATGGATGGCATGAATGAAGCCATCCATTGTATACAACTGTCATGTGACCTGCTGTGATTGGTCACAGCAGGTCACATGATACCGGCAACGGGGGCCGGTACTTAGATCTGTCATCGGCCGTGTCCGAGGTACACGGCCGGTGACAGATCGCGCCTCTGCGCGGCTCTGCAACCGCGCGAACTGCGCATGTGCGGGAGCACGCCAAATGGTGTGCACCCGGAATGCTGAAGCGTTTTTGCGGCCGCCAAACGGCTATTGGCCGGGCGGCTAATGGTTAAACATTAAAAAATGTAAAAATCTAATTTCACCATAATTGTATGGCAAAATATATTCTGTTCCATGTCTTTGCTAAAAAAAAAAAAATCCCAATACGTGTAAATTAATTTGTTACGTGAAAGTTACAGCGTCTATAAGTGTCGGAATATATACTGGGATTATTTATTTTATTTTTGTTTTTACTAGTAATGGTGGTGAGCAGCGACTTAGAGCGGGACTGGGGGACTGCAGCGGGCGTTCTGACACTGGGGATACTGACTTGGTGTCACTGACATCCCCAGTGACACAAATAAAGCTTTCCTTCGGTGGTTTTTGATCGCCTGTGTTCTTTATTTTTTGCGCTATAAAAAAAAAGACCGAAAATTTTGAGAAAAATACCATATTTTCGACTTTTTGGTATTAAACCTTAAAAAAATCAAATTTATTCATAAATTTAGGGCAAAATGTATTCTGCTACATGTCTTTGCTAAAAAAAAAATACCAATACATGTAAATTAATTTGTTGCGTGAAAGTTATAGCATCTACAAATGGTGGTATATATACTGGGATTTTTTATTTTTACTAGTATTGGCGGTGAACAGCGACTTATAGCAGGACTGTGGGACTGCGGCGGGCATTCTGACACTGGGGAAACTGACTTGGTGTCACTGACATGCCCAGTGACACCAATACAGGGATGAGTGCTAATAACACTGGGCAGTAAGGGGTTAACATGTGGGGCGATCAAAGGGTTAACTGTGTTCTGTTTTACATGGTGCCCTGTGTGTGTGCTTCACTGCAAGCACACTGCTTTGCATGGCTGTGCTATGCTGTGTAACAAAAAAAAAAATATATATATATATACCGTATTTTTCGCACCATAAGACGCACTTTTTTCCCCCCAAAAAAGGGGGGAAAATGTCAGTGCGTCTTATGGAGCGAATATGGAGCGGCCGGTCTGGTATTTCCACCGCCGCCGTGTCAGAATACCGGGCCGGCCGCTCAGCTCTACAGCGGGACCTTATAGAGATGACTGCTGACCTTTGCGGAGGAGGGGGAGCGGGTACCTGAATTTGACAGATACCCGCTCCGACTTCCGTGGAGTTGTTCTTTCATCTTACCCGTTCCTCTATCCAGCGGCGCGGTCTTCCCGGCTTCTGAAGTGTGGGCATGACAGCCGGGTGCCAAGTGCGCATGCGCAGGAAGCGGTGTTTTTTGTGAATGGTAAGGCGGCACCTGGGACACATGACAGATCCCAGAAGCCGCCGGACCAATCACAAAGCGCAAGTGCTTCTCGCTCATGCGCACTGGGCACCCGGCTGTCATGCCCACACTATGGAAGCCGGGAAGACGCTGGATAGAGGAACAGGTAACATGAAATAACAACTCCGCGGAAGTGGGAGCGGGTATCTGTCAAATTCAGGTACCCGCTCCCCCCCCTCCCCAAAGGTCAGCAGTCATCCCTTGTACTATCCACAGTCTCTGGTCATCCCTGTGCTGTCCGCAGTCTCTGGTCATCCCTGTACTGTGTCCACAGTCTCTGGTCATCCCTGTACTGTGTCCGCAGTCTCTGGTCATCCCTGTACTGTGTCCGCAGTCTCTGGTCATCCCTGTACTGTGTCCGCAGTCTCTGGTCATCCCTGTACTGTGTCCGCAGTCTCTGGTCATCCCCTGCACTGTGTCCGCAGTCTCTGGACATCTCCTGTACTATGTTTGCAGTCTCTGGTCATCCCCTGTACTGTGTCCGCAGTCTCTGGTCATCCCCTGTACTGTGTCCGCAGTCACTGGTCATCTCCTGTACTGTGTCCGCAGTCTCTGGTCATCTCCTGTACTGTGGCCGCAGTCTCTGGTCATCTCCTGTACTATGTCCACAGTCTCTGGTCATCCCTGTACTGTGTCCGCAGTCTCTGGTCATCCCTGTACTGTGTCCGCAGTCTCTGGTCATCCCTGTACTGTGTCCGCAGTCTCTGGTCATCCCTGTACTGTGTCCGCAGTCTCTGGTCATCCCTGTACTGTGTCCGCAGTCTCTGGTCATCCCCTGTACTGTGTCCGCAGTCTCTGGTAATCCCCTGCACTGTGTCCGCAGTCTCTGGTCATCCCTGTACTGTGTCCGCAGTCTCTGGTCATCTCCTGTACTGTGGCCGCAGTCTCTGGTCATCTCCTGTACTATGTCCACAGTCTCTGGTCATCCCTGTACTGTGTCCGCAGTCTCTGGTCATCCCTGTACTGTGTCCGCAGTCTCTGGTCATCCCTGTACTGTGTCCGCAGTCTCTGGTCATCCCTGTACTGTGTCCGCAGTCTCTGGTCATCCCTGTACTGTGTCCGCAGTCTCTGGTCATCCCTGTACTGTGTCCGCAGTCTCTGGTCATCCCTGTACTGTGTCCGCAGTCTCTGGTCATCCCCTGTACTGTGTCCGCAGTCTCTGGTCATCCCCTGCACTGTGTCCGCAGTCTCTGGTCATCCCTGTACTGTGTCCGCAGTCTCTGGTCATCCCCTGCACTGTGTCCGCAGTCTCTGGACATCTCCTGTACTATGTTTGCAGTCTCTGGTCATCCCCTGTACTGTGTCCGCAGTCTCTGGTCATCCCCTGTACTGTGTCCGCAGTCACTGGTCATCTCCTGTACTGTGTCCGCAGTCTCTGGTCATCTCCTGTACTGTGGCCGCAGTCTCTGGTCATCTCCTGTACTATGTCCGCAGTCTCTGGTCATCTCCTGTACTGTGTCCGCAGTCTCTGGTCATCTCCTGTACTATGTCTGCAGTCCATTAGTTCAGAATTTTTTTTCCTGTTTTCTGCCTCTAAAACCTAGGTGCGTCTTATGGAGCAAAAAATACGGTATATACACAGTGGGGCAAAAAAGTATTTAGTCAGCCACCAATTGTACAAGTTCTCCCACTTACAAAGATGAGAGAGGCCTGTAATTGGCATCATAGGTAGACCTCAAATATGAGAGACAAAATGAGAAAACAAATCCAGACAATCACATTGGCTGATCTGGAAAGAATTTATTTGCAAATTATGGTGGAAAATAAGTATTTGGTCAATATCAAAAGTTCACCTCAATACTTTGTTATATATCCTTTGTTGGCAATGACAGAGGTCAAACGTTTCCTGTAAGTCTTCACAAGGTTGGCACACACTGTTGCTGGTATGTTGGCCCATCCTCCATGCAGATCTCCTCTAGAGCAGTGATGTTTTGGGGCTGTCGCTGGGCAACAAGGACTTTCAACTCCCTCCAAAGGTTTTCTATGGGGTTGAGATCTGGAGACTGGCTAGGCCACTCCTGGACCTTGAAATGCTTCTTACGAAGCCACTCCTTCGTTGCCCGGGCGGTATGTTTGGGATCATTGTCATGTTGTAAGACCCAGCCACGTTTCATCTTCAATGCCCTTGCTGATGGACGGAGGTTTGCACTCAAAATCTCACGATACATGGCCCCATTCATTCTGTCCTGTACATGGATCAGTCGTCCTGGTCCCTTTGCGGAGAAACAGCCCCAAAGCATGATGTTGCCACCCCCATGCTTCACAGTAGGTATGGTGTTCTTTGGATGCAACTCAGCATTCTCTCTCCTCCAAACACGACGAGTTGTGTTTCTACCAAACAGTTCTATTTTGGTTTCATCTGACCATATGACATTCTCCCAATCCTCTTCTGGATCATCCAAATGCTCCCTAGCAAACTTCAGACGGGCCCGCACATGTACTGGCTTAAGCAGGGGGACACGTCTGGCACTGCAGGATCTGAGTCCCTGGCGGCGTAGTGTGTTACTGATGGTAGCCTTTGTTAAGTTGGTCCCAGCTCTCTGTAGGTCATTCACTAGGTCCCCCCGTGTGGTCCTGGGATTTTTGCTCACCGTTCTTGTGATCATTTTGACCCCACGGTGTGAGATCTTGCGTGGAGCCCCAGATCGAGGGAGATTATCAGTGGTCTTGTATGTCTTCCATTTTCTAATTATTGCTCCCACAGTTGATTTATTCACACCAAGCTACTTGCCAATTGCAGATTCAGTCTTCCCAGCCTGGTGCAGGTCTACAATTTTGTTTCTGGTGTCCTTCGACAGCTCTTTGGTCTTCACCATAGTGGAGTTTGGAGTGTGACTGTTTGAGGTTTTGGACAGGTGTCTTTTATACTGATAACAAGTTCAAACAGGTGCCATTGATACAGGTAATGAGTGCAGGACAGAGGAGCCTCTTAAAGAAGAAGGTACAGGTCTGTGAGAGCCAGAAATCTTGCTTGTTTGTAGGTGACCACCATAATTTGCAAATAAATTCTTTCCAAATCAGCCATTGTGATTGTCTGGATTTGTTTTCTCATTTTGTCTCTCATAGTTGAGGTCTACCTATGATGCCAATTACAGGCCTCTCTCATCTTTTTAAGTGGGAGAACTTGCACAATTGGTGGCTGACTAAATACTTTTTTGCCCCACTGTATATAGTGCTCAGCATAAATGAGTACACCCCAACAGATTTGTCAGAAAGCCTTAACTTTACTTTCAGAATCAACATTTTCTATGGAACAGTATACTACAAAATATTCCCACAAATGTGGGTCATTAATTGAAAACACGATTTGTTAATTTGCACACACAAAAAAGTATTATACCTAACAAATTCATTCAAGACTGTGTTGCAAAAATGAATACACCCCATGAAAGTCTTAGGAGAAAAGCTAAATTTTAGACAACAAAATGCTAATTAACAAGAATTCAACTACAGGTGAGTCTAATTATTCATTACACAGGTGTCCAGCAGACAGTTGATTATAAAAGGGCGTTACTTAACAAAGAGAACCCCTCCCATTTCATGCTGTCAGCAATGGCACCACATGGAAGAGAAATGTCACAAGGCCTAAGAAAGAAATCAATTTATTTACACAAGAAAGGTGAAGGCTGCAAGAAGATCAGCACATCTTTGCTTATCAGTCAAAAACCGTAGCAAAAGTAGTACAAAAAGCTAACAAAGATGGAACTGCAACCATCTCTCAGAGACATCCAGGCCATCCACAGAAGTTAACACCTCGACAGGAGCGTCTTCTGATGAGAAAGGTTGAAGAAAATTGCCATGCAAGCTCACTGCAGTTAGCTAAAGAAGTAGAAAGCCAAACTAGAGTGATTGCTTCCCGTGACACAATACAGTGTACACTACAGAGGAATGGCATGCATGGGTGTTGTCCAGGAAGGAAGGCTCTTCTAAAGCCCATGCACAAAAGCCCATCTAGAATTTCTCAGGGCCCATGCTGAAAAAGAATAAGACTACTGAGACTCTGTACTCTGGAATGATGAGACCAAGATAAATGTTTTTGGAACTGATGGCTTAAAAACTGTAGGTGAGGAGTACAAAGAAACATGCATGGTGTTTACAGTGAAACATGGTGGTGGCAGTGTCCCTCTGTGGGACTGCATTGTGGGAGTGTTGCTGGTGTCGGGGGGCTGCATTTCATTGATGACATCATGAATTCACAGATGTACTGCTCTATATTGAAAGAGAAGATGAACCATCACTCCATTCTCTTGGGCGTTGTGCACTTTTCCAACATGACAATGATCCAAAACACACATATAAGGCCACTGTTACATTTCTGAAGAAGAACAGAGTGAAAGTGATTCAGTGGCCAAGTTATCTCTCCTGATCTGAACCCAATCAAACACCTATGGGGAATTCTGAAGAGACAAACTGAACATCACTCTCCACCCAGCATCCAGACTCTAAAAGAGGTCGTTGTTGAAGAATGGAAAATAATTGATGTTGCAATATGTCACCAACTTGTTCATTCCATGCCTAGAAGACTTGGTGCTGTCCTTACAAATCATGGAGGTCATACAGAATACTAGATGGAGGAGTTTTTATTGTGGGGTGTATTCATTTTTGCAGCAACTAATTTGAGTAAAACTGAAGATTTTGTAATCTAAGTTATATTATTAACCTTACTTTCATGTCATGTTCTAAACAAACGTTCTATAAAACTCAATTTTATGGTCAAAATTTTGGAAGTTGTTCTTGTGTTAATTGAGATATTGATTATTACAGCATTATTATACAGTATTTATATAGTGCCAACAGTTCTCTCAGCGCTGTACATTACAATGGGAGACAATACATGAGACAGTACAATAACACTACAATGCGATACACGAGGGGTTCGAGGGACCTGCTCCTTGGAGCTTACAATCTAGGAGGGAGGGGATAGTGGTCAAGGAGGAAAAGCTGTGGGGGGTGGAGTGGTAGGAAGAGTGGAGGAGATTGGCAAATATATATATATATAGTCTCAGTTCGGTATCCTGCCACGGTGGAAATCACGGTGGTCACCCAGGATTCTCGACTATACAGGTTGAGGGGCTCCAGGCAGTTCTCGTAATGCAGAGAAAACTGGTTTATCAGTTTCCTCTTTGGTTTGTAAAGCCTGTTTTGGGACCTGGGGCCTGGAGATTTGGGAGGGATGAAATCTCCAATCCTGGGTCCAGGTTTTAAGAGCAGCCAGCACACTGATTGCGCTGGTGTGTGCAGGGCTTTTTGTAGAGGCCAGGCCATGACTCTGGGCTCCACCCCGGCAGACAGACAGGAGGTCATTGCCTAGGAGTCAGGAGGGCTTCACCTAGGTGAGGTGGAAGCCAGAAGCAGCTAGGGGCTAGCTGTGTGTTAAAGGCCCTTTTGGAAGGAGTCTGTAAGAGACAGACCTAAAGCGGTATACCTGAGAGAGCCAGAAGGCTGAATATTGTTTGATGGTGGATACCCCTGCGTGGGAAGCATTTTCGTTATTGAACTTTCGTTTAAATAAAATTGGGCTAAAAGGCCTTTAAAAAGAAAAAGTGAGTTGTTGTGTGCTTTAAAAAAGAAAAGCTCTACCATTTTGATGTGAGTTCTCACTATATATATATATATATATATATATATACACAGTTGTGTTCAAAATATTAGTGTGTTGAAAAAAGTGAATAAAGCTCAAAATCCTTATAATAGCTTTTATTTCCATCCACACAAATGCATTGGGAACACGACACATTCTATTCCAAATCAAAACATGAAGTAAAATATATAAAATTTGTGTTGTTCCTCTAAAAAATTTAAGAAAAGTGAATATTAGACGGTTCAAAAAAATCGCAGTGTTTGTATTCTTCTTTACAAACTCAAACATTCACTATATAAACTGAGAAATGTTTGAAGATTTTGCTTTCCTTTGAATGACTTCATGAATATTTGGTTGTAGTCGCACTGTTTCTGAGAACT